GTCTCGTCGATTGCAGAAATTGACCAATTTTCAGTCGAATCTTCGATTTCTGGCGCCTCAGGAGACGATAATCTAGTGGATGATTCAAGCCGGACTTCAGAGAACCTGAGGCGGCCTGGTAATCCCGAAGTTGCCTCAGGAGTGATCGCCTCTCCGGCCCAAGACCCTGTGGCCTACTGGTCTCGAACGGCTGAAGAGGCGCGTACTCGACTCGCGCGTCTTGAGGCCGAGTCGCGCTGTCTCGAGGCAGGAAGCCTCTATCCGGTTACGCCTGGAGGAGTTCATGGGATTGGCATTGACAACGCGGCGACTGGCGCACATGATGGCCACCTCACCGACGGTACCAGCGCTGCTGCCGGCAGCTTTAGGGGCTTCCTTTCCACGGGCGCCATTGCCGGTAGACTTGGAGCTTTGAGCACTGGCGGCGTGGTTGATGGGCTTCTACGCGCTGCTGGAACTGCAGCCAGAACCTCTTCTGTCGTGGGTTTGGGGACAACCGACTCTGGCCTGGCCAATCGGCTGACGGGGAACTGTCGTCCACTGCTTCGTCAGCCGTGGACCCTAGGATGGCTGGGGTCCTTCCAGCAGAATTCCAGCATGTCGACTCGTCCCGATACTGAACATTTGACGGCACTACTTTCATTGCCTACTGACTCCGGACTCGGACCAGACGCGCCACTGGTCGGCCAAAGAATGGTACACAATGAGGCAACGACAATGAATGTAAAAACAACAGAAGTACCAGGACAACTTGACTGTACCATCAGACGAGCAGCTGACACGGCTGTCATTCCCCCCCTAGTGAGGATGTCGCCTGGGCAACGAGATGGTCTTCCGAAGGGGACTCCGGACCTGGTGAACCTCGATTCGGGCCCCTACATTGGGACTTATTTAAAGCCAGAATTGCTTGTAGTTACGTCGTTGGCTAATGCTTCTGACGCTCATGCTATTTCCAGTATTGAGAAAGAGAATGCGAGCGCAACACCGACTGTTAAGCAAGTTGAAGTAGATAAATCAGAGGAGGGAATTGCAATTTCTGTGACGGCAAGTTTTACTGTAGATTTTGATTCATGCTTTTGCCTTGTCTCTAATTCATTCTTGTTCACTTTTATTAAACTACATTTCACCTTATCCTTCTCTGATGAATTTGCTGTTTGGCTTTTAGCACTTATTTTTTTCCGGTTTTAAGGATTTAAACTACAAGGCCTATTCAGCTTTGCCATCTGATCCAGTTCAAATTTACGCTTCCTCCATGCTCATGTTTATCTGCCTTGACAGACCTAGGTTTCGGACAAAATAAAGGTTTTATTTGCATATATATATATATATATATATATATATGCATTCTGATGAGGTATATAATGATTTTTTGGGATTGACATTCGAGTCTCATCACACGCTTCCACTCTAAATGTAAGTGAATTTGATGAGTATATGTTTTGGGGGACTTTCATTTCGTATGAAAGTGCATTAAGAAGAGATTCGTAGGTCGATCTCACCAGAAGAGGATGGATGTATTCCGTTGTACTGCAGCTGTTTGGCTGTTATTCGACGTTCAGGTTGACGCAGTCCACGAGACCTCCTCCATCGTTCCGGGTTAAAACGGGCTGAGCTTTCGTACATTATAAGATGGACATCATTATTCATGCTAAAGTCTCACGTTAAAACTAGGGCAAGAAGACTATCCAGTTCTATCTTACCTTTTATATAGACTCAATTAAGCCAAAAGAAATAAAAAAAACTATATCCATAGATATAGAGAGGTTTGGCTAATTATCTTTCATTCTGGTCCTGCTACTTTTGCTCGAGTTGTGCGTGTGTGTATGTGTGTGTGTGTGTGTTAGCGTCATAAATCAGAGTTCTAAAATGGTGATGCCAGGCTCTGATCATCAATGAAAGTGTTGGTGAAGAGATTCGAAGGTCGATTCGCCAAAAGACGACGGCGGATTCCTCTTGACCAGCTGTCGATTGGCTTTATTGGAACATTCTCGGTGACGCTGTTTTCGAAGTAATTTCCTTCGATTCCAGTGAAAAGGTTCGAAGTTTCGTCCGACATGTGACGAACATTATCAGAGCAAGGTATCATTTTCATAACCAAATTCAAGCTAACGAGTCAATAAAACTGACCGGAAGGGTGGCTGGGCACATAAGCGCCTGCAAAGTCTGTTGGTTTCCATAATTGGAGCTGGCTGAGCACAGCTCAAAAACGGGAGACGAGTTTGAAGGGTCCCAAACTTCCCGTTTTGCTGATTATGGCATGTCTGCGGCTAAACGTAAAAAGTAGACAAGCCATCGAAATAAACCGAATAGGAAATACATTGAATTTAGGAAATATCGGCGAGAAGATAAGTAAAAATTACTTGTGCTTAATTAATAGACCCAAGGACAGAGAGGAAGTTAAGCCGACTGCAAAAAGGAGGTGGCGCAACTAGTCATTTCTTGTCTTAGTCCAAATCATAGTAGCTTGTCTGTACATTTTGCTCACTCTTTCTCTCTCGCACTGAGACCAAAAACAAAAAAAAGGTTTATCAACAAAACCAGAAGTGTGTTCGACCTTGCGTAATCGGAGTGATGGTTATAGCATGTATGTAGGAAAGGGGAGATAATGGTCATCAAACCTTGATGGTCGAAAGCAGACGTTACTTTAAGCCATCTCTGCAGGTTTTGTAAATAAGCAAACACAAGCAGGCTAATACGCATACCGAGACAGACACACTCATAGGCTTCGAGGTTGTCATATGACCGTAACTAACCAAATCACTTTATACTTGATCAAAGAGGCCAGATTTAAAGTATATATTTTCATATTTGAGTAGAGTTTCTAGACTACCAGTAAATCAGTATTATGAGAGGTATTCACCCTATTTCGTTTAAGGTGATGAAGGATTGGTAGTAGAATTCTCCTATAATGATATGAGTAGAGCTGACGCTCCCATTGAATTTCACATTGTCTCGCCTTCCCAAAAGTTGTTCTCATCCCGGCACCAGTGGACTGCAGTTTCGACCTCGCATCGGTCTTATCAACAC